TCGGCTGCCAGCCTGCGCCGCGCGGTCGTGGCCGGTGGCTTTGCCAAAATACTCCAGAGCCTTCGGAAAGTCCCGGAGCCCTTCGTGAGCTGCCCCGATATTGAAATAAAGGTCCCCCGAGTGCTCCCCGCTCTCTCCCTCCGAGGCCTGCGACTGGAGGAGGAACTCAAGGCCCTTTTTGGGCTTCCCGGTCTCCACGTAGGCAACCCCCAGGTTGAAGGCACAAGCCCTGCGGAGCTGGGGGCTCGCCGTGCCCCCGGAGAGGCGAAGCGCCCTCCTGCAGCACCCCACTGCCTCCCGCGCATCGCCCAGTGCCAGCGCCTGGCGCCCGGCTCGCGTGAGCCCCTCGATTTTGGCCGCCTCGTCCCCTCCCTCCTGGGCATCTTCCCTGGCTTCGGGCTTCTCCTTCGCTTTCTTCCAGCTCTTCTTCCCAACCGTGGGGGCTGCGGGGGCCGTGGGCTCTGCTCCCGGGTTAGCAGCCGCCTCCGAAGCCATGGGCAGGAGGGAGGCAGCAGGCAGCCCGAGCTGGCGCGGTCCTGGGATTTCTTGAAAGGAGCAGCGTTATTTTCTATTATTAAAAAAAAAATAAAAATTACAAAAGTCTGCTTGCTGCTAAAGTGCCAGGGAAGCCTTTCCATGGGGGACCCCAGCTCAGCTTCCGCACCCCGTCCCTGCCTCCTGCAAACCTTTGCGGCCGCCAGAGAGGAGAAGGGGGTCACCGGAGGAGGGGGGGGGCACGCCGCGGCCCGGGGTGGGTGTTCCTTCCCAGGGTGGCTTTTTGGGAGGCAGAATAACCGGTTGCATGCACTTACCGTTCGCTCTTTGGGTGCAAAGGGTGCCAAGAGCGTGGAGGAGGGGGACGGGGCATCACCGGCGCTTGCAGCCGCGTCGCCGCTGCAGACCACCGCTCTCCGGATGGGGACGGAGCGTGTCCGAAGGGCCTCCGAATCCCGCTGGGGCTGGGCTGCCTGGAAAGCCCCCCGGAGTGGGTCGCAGCCCCCCGGGCGATGGACGCTGGGGCCTGGTGCTGGAGCACAGACGGCTTCCGAGCGCCAAGAAAATGTCAGGATGGTGCGTGGCACGCACGGCCTGGGACAGAGCCAGGTCTCCTCCTGGGGAAGGCACCTTCCTGCGATGGCTCCGCTGGCTCCGGTTTCATCTCCGTCCCCGGCCCGGTGTACAGTGCCATGGCAACTCGGGAACCGTGTGGTGGATGGCACAGCCAGCCCCGCGCTGTCCCGGTGAGCGGGTGG